TATTCCATTGTTGCAAATGACTGAAACTTCCTGGCTCTTTTGCTTTTCCCAAAACTTCAAACAAAAGTGGCAAATATAGTTACTGAAATAACCCTACTTCTCAAGTACCGATTTTATATTTTAGTCACTATCATACCAGTGCAAGCAAACATGAAACACCTACATCTTAAAGAAAAAACAATTTTTCTGACTCACAGTTTAACAGTGTGCAAGGAAGTATTGGCTAGCTCCAATACAGATACAGCATGGTGGAAAGGTACGGTGGATGATGGGTGCTGTATTCATTGTTTCTAGTAAGGACAGAGGTAGAGATGTATGTGATAGAGATGTAGCACTAGAGACATTGGTATATATATTCTTCCATCCACAACAGTTTTTTGATGACATGGTCCTATGAAGCTCAACAATATGCAATACTTATTTTTCTTTAGGCATTTGGAATTGTATGTGGACTCAGAATGCCAAATATCAAGTATGTACATGTTAATTCTGCCTGCACCTCCTTTTACCTATAGTTATAGGTATCTCCATATGGCAGTGTATAGTAATTATAGGAATAATACAATATAAGGAAAATAGTGAGTCTGTGGAATAGATTAGTCCCCTATTCTGAGCAGAGTAAGAAGCTTGATCTTTAAAAGGAATTTCAATCTCCTAAACTGTGAGCCAGAATATCTACTCTAAAGAAAGTTCTAGAGATTTCAAGGTGTATCTGGAGTTTTTCTAAGTGAGTTAGATATTTGAACATATAAATAATCTTCAATAGTTTAGAATAGAATAGATAACAAACAGATAAGTTCTATTTACAGTCTTACAAAATAGACCCAAAATTGTATCAACCATTCAATTTTCACCATATAGCTCACATGGGACATGGGAGATATAATGTTACTCAGCAGAGGAAAGTCAAGATCATGTTACAGTCAATCTGTCCTAGGGTTAGTCCAAAAATTAGATATATTTATCAAGTTTCTCATCAAGTGGATGGACGGTAAGAATTGCCATGCATATGAGCCTCTGGGAAGGGTCTGATTCTTAATAGAACTTTTTTTTAAAGCTCATTCTGTTACTACCAAACACTGATCTCCATCAAAGAGCTCCAGCTGACTCCTAGGTTCTCCTTCCTCAAGAATTAGGTCATAACATAAAATTTTGGATTGTAGATATGGAGTACCTGAAGATCTTTGTTGTATGTCCTTTATAATTGCTGCATATATCAGTGCCAAAGCTAATGGTAAAGTTCCACCATTGTTCAAGAAAATGTGCAGTTGATTTTTAGAATAATACAATTAGACATTCTCAACTAATTTGTGTTATTGCTTGTTCAAACTTTTAAAATATATTCATCTGCTTAAAAAGTTCTTGCATTCAAAATCATAATATCTCATTTTACAACTTAATTTCTGGATGGTTTATACATTGGCACTCTGGGCGACACAGAAATAATGGAAAACTCAATCCTTTCAGTGAAAACTCAATTTAGAATCTTTTTACTTTAAGGTATTAAACAACATTTACAGCTGCAGATATGCAGGGATTAAAAATCTGAATGTAATTCTGTTAATTTTTTTTCAAAAACACAAAAGAGAGCATTATTCATTTAGAGTTCATATTTCAAGTAAAATCCACTAACAGAAAGGTTTTGTTCATTCTGTTAGCTATGGTTTCTTGTTAGTAAGTGGAACACTAATATTTTAACAAAAGTGAAATGACCATTTATTTATATGGCAAGTGCCTCTTATTCTACTGCTTGAATGCTGAGGAATTAATTACATAGGAAGTAAATGATCTTACTGGTAAACATTATTGATTTTGCTTTTAAAATCTTGTTTGAATCCTGTGCTCCTTTCCATCTATCCACTAAATATTATATAATTTTTAAATGGTGCAGAGTAAGCTCCCCTCTTTTAATGACTTCCAAAAATGGAACACTACAGATAAATAAGCTAAGCACATTAGAATGTCAATTTTTATTCAGGCAACATGTTCAATTTAACAGCAACAAAGTTGATATAATTCAATAAACATCAATAGAGAGACAAAAGAAAAATACATAAAATGTTTTAGATACCTAGAATTTCACAATCTGGTAGGAAATAAGAGTAAACATAAATGTAAAACAATTATAAAACTTCTTATTAAGTGCAATAATTAACATACTAAGTGTGCAATTACAGAGGCAGAAACAAAGGAAATGTGTAGAAATTTGCACTACTTAAATACATTTATCTTGGAAAATGCATCCATTTGCAGAAGTCTATCTTCAGTCATTTTGTCTTTCAACATCTCCTAGAAATCAGTAGTTAAATACTAAAAGTTGAGATGAGAGAGAGAGAGAGAGACATGCTTATAAAATATATCACATAATCAAAATGGATGAGCCTCATTTGGATACTAATTCAAGATAGTTTAAAAAAGGCAGCAAAGTCTCACATAAAATCAAGGAAATATGAATATAGTCTGGATGACTTGTGACATAAAAGAATAATATAAAATACTTTTACTATTAGTGACATGATAGCTATATAAAAAAGTCTTTGTTAGGGGCTGCGGAGTTAGCTCAATAGAATAAGTGCTTGCCTGGCAAGTGCAAGGGCCTGAGTTCAATCTCCGTTTCTGAAAAAAAAAAATGTCTTTGTTTTAGAAACACAATTATTTCAACATAAAATCATCTGCTCATTGGAACTTCCTTCAAAGTGAGCATGAAGAAGGTGTGGTCATGTGCTGGTGAACCTGAATGAAGGTTAATTGCATTTTTATATCTATAATTGAAAATATTTTTATAATTTCTGCTGTAAAATCTTTTAAATAGACCTATACTTATAGAAGTAAAATGACAGTAAGAATGTACTAAAGGCAGCATGAGATAAAGTATAATAGAAACTCTAAGCCTTGTATTATGGTTTATGTCTAGTTGTACCCCCAAAACCTTATGCAGTCATTGGATCAGGCTTCTAGATTTCATGATTAATTCATGATTCAACACTTGGATTATGGGGGTGTGTGCTACTCACACACTGGGGTGAATAGCCGGAATACAATATAAGGTACAGAGAGAGCTATCCAAGCCACTGTTCCTCCCTTTTTGCACTTTGCTGTTTTATGCTTCCATGAACTGCTGCTCTGTGCCCTGTGCCACTCTGCCTTGGAGCCATTAGAGCATGTACTAAAACCTCCACTTACTCTGAAATAAATAAACCTTTCCTTCCTCCATTTTAGGTGTCAGGTATATTGTCCCAGCAATTACAGAAAAGTTACCAAGACACTTTGCATGTTAGTAACCTAAAAATTTTCCTGGAACTGATCATGATAATAGAACAAAATAGATTGTATGAGTCTATTAGTCAACATTATATCTAAAGGCTCTGAAGTAACGTTGAAATCAGGTAATGTTTATTGTCAATAACTTCCATTGAACAATTAGCATAAGTGTTATGGGTTTGTGTCTAGTTGTCCCCCCAAAGTCTCATATAAGTTATGGAGCAGATGCTACTTGAGGAGCAATGAGTTGCTTGAGCAGTGGGGACAGAGGACCAGGGCAAGGCCCAAGGGACGGGGCCAAAGATGCACGAACCATTAAACTGGCTAGACTGTGCTTTCTCAGAGAGATGGAGAGGGTCATCCTGCACATGGTAGCGCCCCAGCCTTTCCTCCAGTATCTTGAAACCTCCAGTAACTGTGAGTTAAATAAACCCTTCCTTCTCTCATTTTGAGTGTCAGGTATTTGTCCCAACAATGAGAGAAAAGTAATTAAGACAGAATTTGTACCAGAGAAGTGAGATCATTGCTGTGTCTAAACCTGACCATGTGGATTACAAGCTTTTGGAAATGGCTTATGGGAAGAGATAGGAATGGTTTGGAGATGTCACTTACAAGAAAAGCACTGGAACATCTTCAGCTATTCTGTAGTGGACATTCTGTTCACCGCTCAGACCAGAAGACCGGTAGAAATTCTGTCTGTAAAAATCAGGCTGGTGAGGTTTCTGCTGGAAAGAAAGACTGCATGGGTTGTTGGACTCCAGATCATTTGTCTTTTGGTTTGGCAGAAATTTTTCTGAATTTTGCCCATGTCCAGAGACTTTGCCTGATACTGAGATTAAACATAGAGGACTGATTAACCTTTCAAAGGAAATATCAAAACCGTCAAATATTGAGGCAGTGGCATGGTTATTGTTGGAGGTACTTAGTCAGGTTTATGTTGAGAATGAAGAGCAAAGAGTACAGAAGAATAATCTAAAATGTGAATTTGGCCAGAAAGCAAGTGCCAAGAAGGCTGTGTACTGCAAAGATAGAGCTGAGATATCCATTGTCCAAGAGGACCAAGAGACTAAAAAGGTTGTCCAGAGGGCATCACAGGATGTGAAGTATTCTTACCCTTTGCATCCTCAGAGTCTAAAGGGTGAAAGACTGCTTTGTGGAGGAAACTACAGAGCCCCGTGCTCCAGAATGGAGGCAGAACTACACCAGGTTCCAGAATTGAGGCAGCGGCCAAACCAGATTAAAGAATGGCTCTGGTATAGCGAATTTGTTTCTCAGAATCAAGATCAGAGTGCTCAGCCATCCACGTACTCAATCCTTATAGCCAAGAGAGAGAAAAGACTGGCTATTGCTCCAGCTTGCAGGAGACCTTGGCATCATACATGTGGTGCTGGTCTCATGTGCACGCAGAATGCAGGTGTTCTGAGGTTAAGAAGACTTCCACCTCAATTTTAGAAGAAGGCCTGGGAGGCCAGGCAGTGTGCACCTGAGAGCGCAGTGTGTGAAGTTCTGAGTGAGAAGCCTATTCCGTGAAAATACCATAAGTTTGTAAAAGTCAGGAATGTGGATCATCTAAGGGAAACTGCAAACAGGGAGCAAAGCCGGCCTAAGAGAGAAGCCATGGGAGCTACAACCACCAGAAGTTCCATAGGCATGGAGCAGCACGGAGCTCACAGTTGGCCACAAATTGCTTTAGATGTTCCACAAGGACATGCAGGACTTAATGTTTGCCCAACTGCATTTTGGAATTGTTATGGCCTCAATGGTTTGTATCCTTCTGTGTATACTTTTTGGAATGGCAATGTTTATCTTGTGCCTTTCAATGTTGGGTGTACTTAACTTTTTATTTGTACAGGGGCTCACAGTTGACAGTTTGCTTTGGATCTTGGAGGAGATTTGGGACTTGGACATTTCAGTAATGCTGAAACTGTTAGGACTTTGGCAACTCTTTTTTTTCAATAATCTTATTGAGAAACAAATAGCATTGAGATAATTTCAAAACCGATTCATAGGACAGTTTCAATAATTAATACATTGCATATTTTTGTCTTACTGGTTATTCATTGTATGAGATGCAGACATGGTATCCTGTCCAAAAACACGATTAGAACAGATCATTTTATTCATTGAATTAGGAAAATATAGCTGTATATCTATCGTAACTATTTTGAATATACAGATACAAAATAGGTGTTCATGCGTATACCCTTTTTTGTTTAGTTTTGTCAGAGAAGGGTATCCACTGTCATTTAAATATGATACGTGCATGAATTCAGCAAAATATCCCAATATAGTCCAGTAGTCCATAATAGTAGTTGGTTTTCTGTAAGACTGGTGTCAGAAGTTGTTAACTTGAGCCTTTTACAGCCCAGAATATTAATATGGTTTACATTTTATACATTGTTTTTATACTTTTCTACTGGATGGTTAAGAAGAAGATAAAGTAAGACCTATATAACAAGGAATGTATTTTTTAAAATCTGATAATGTCAGTCTAATTCCCTTAGGATTTATCCTGAAACCCTGTCCCACAGTTTGTATATCTTTTGTCATTTTCAGCCTTGTGGATGAGTCACTGCCTCTGCTTGACCAATTTGCTCTCTGTGAAAGCCTGAGAGAATGTTTCCCCTCCATGTGACTCTCCTTAAGCACACTCTACATCATGAATCACTTTCCTCTGTGGCCCTGTAATCTCCTTGATCAGAAAATTTGGGACACAACTGAGTTACATGCTGTTACAGTAGTTTCTCCTATGTCCTGAGTCTTCACTGACCATGAAAGGCTCTGGCCAAAATCTTGGCTGTCGTAGTCCTTCTATTTCTCTAATTTGTGGTCTGCACACTTAGGTTGTTAACCCTCCAGAAGAGAAGCTTATTATTACCCTACATCTTATGCTGTTGGGTTTAACTTCACTATCTGTGTGAATATCAACCATCGTAGGCATAATATGGAGCGGGTATTTTCCATTAAGTATTGATATGTTAAACTTTAAGTCCCTACAGAATATGAAGTAAAAAATTAAAAATATAAAACAATATTTAAAAGAATAAGAGTTAACAATGATGTATTTTTACACAGAAGTTTAGAAATCTAACCCTATACAGCATTGCAGCAGGAAAGTCCTTTAACATTTTATTTTTCTTCGTCTCTTGTTTTCTTTTATTACCTTATTTTTAAACAAACATTTATTTAACAGACAGTATAGCACCAAATGGTATGTTATGACACTTTGACAACTCTTTATATATGAGATAAATGCCTTTTGGAAAAAGGAATGTGCCTGAGACTTTGGGGGCTAAGGGGTGGAATGTTATGTTTTGTGTCTGGTTGTCCCCCCAAAGCCTTACATAAGTTATGGATCAGATCAGTTTGGAGGAGCAACAAGTGGCTTCAGGGGTGAGGCCATAGGAACAGGGCATGGCCAGAGGGGTGGGTCTATATAGGTGCAAACCATTAACCTGGTTGAACTGTGCTTTCTCAGACAGGTGGATAGGGTCATCCTCGACACGGCAGCACCCCAGCCTCTCCTCCAGCATCTTGAAACCTCCAGTAACTGTGAGCTGAATAAACCCTTCCTTCCCTCATTTTGAGTGTTGGGTATTTGTCCAATCAATTGGAGAACAGTTACTAATACAATCAGTAAAATCTTAAGTTATTGAAGTTAAAATTTACTACCTTCTTTAATATCATTTTATCTTTTTTGCTTAACAGTTTTCATTTCACTACTTAGAAAATATTCTCAAAATTGATTACTAAAGTGTCCAGGAAATTTCATGCTCACATACTGTCTTGTGCTTTATGTTCTCCCCAGTACACCTCTATTACATATATCTTTTCACTGGAAAATTTTGACTTGTTCTCCTTGAGCAAAAACAACTAGTTATTGACTATCCATGTCTCTACCATCGTGGATATTTCTTCATCTTATATAAACTGTTTTACCTATGTTACAGAAATTATTGCACATATGTTAGGAAGCCATGTACCCAGCCAGAAGAGATTATGACTTACAGGAGCATCTTGTTGATAGAAAGGCAAGATCACTATAGCTCTATGTATTATTCACTGAAGCAAGGGGTACATTTTTCTTATTCTTTTAAATGTAATATGTGCTCAGCAGACTTGCTTTCCCATTCTCCTGGAAGTGCATACCTACTCCACATTCACAGTTTCTTTGTTAAGTGAGTTAGCCCTATGCAGTTACCTTCTTCTCAATAATCTGACTAACTTGAGTGCAGTTGCCATGCCTTTTCTGATGCTTTTATTATCTACAACCACAAAAATTCATTTTGTACTAATATTTGTTATCAAACTGTGGGGGCAATCGAGCAAACTAATAAATTTGACTTAAGGAGATTCCAGTTTGAAACTGACAAATGTTTCAACGTTATATATTCTTTGCAATTTTTTCAATATTAAAGTTAGTATAAATGTGACAAAATAAGAATTAGTCTTTCTTCCTTTGGCATAAGACATTTGAGTTTATGTTTATCACTAAGAATAGAATATTATCCAAAATAATCATCCAGTATGTATAGTCTAAACAGTAATGCCTTTGATAAAGCACTCAGGGTACATACAATGAGAAATAATTAGAAATCAGTATATAATTCTTATTTATTCCTCATGCTTTTAAGGAGCATGCAGTTCCAACTTGTAGAATGAAAATATTACAGTAATAGGGAAATTGGAGTAACCAAAATGGAATAAAACTAACAATGTGGAAGAGACTCATATTTTGTATGATATTGTGAATATTTACTTCCCGTGAAATTTCAGAATTTTTATATACTTCCAAGAAATCAAGAAATCACAGTGAGGTCAATAACTGTTTCAAAATGCTCACTATCAAGTTATATATTTTTTCTTTTGTATATTATCCAGATAACAGTGTAGATATTCGGGGAGGCATGTAGCTATAAGAAGGAGAACTAACATTAATGAATTTTATCAATGAAAAATAAAAATAGATTTCAGATCATCATCAAAATTATGAAAAGTGTATCACCTTACAATATTTTCAGTCCTATCACATATAAAATTAACTTTATGTGTTATCAGAAATGTCAGAGTAAAATTGCGTATAGCAGTGAATGCTTGGAAGTCTAATACTTTGGGATGTTAATGTAGGAAGCTCACAATATTGAGCCCAACTTTGGAAACTTACCATAGTGTCTCTGTTAGCTGTTACTTCAAAATTAAAAATAAAATAAAATAAACTGGGGCAATGTGGTTCAGGATTACAGCCCTGTGTTAAATTCCCAGTACAAAAAGAGAGAAGACAAAAAGAAGAAAGACGAAAGAAAGAAAGGAAAGAAAGAGAAAGAAAGAAAGAGAAAGAAAGAAAGAAAGAAGAAAGAAAGAAAGAAAGAAAGAAAGAAAGAAAGAAAGAAAGAAAGAAAGAAAGAAAGAAAGA